TGCCAGTCTTGGATAGACTTCTTAATTTCTTGATAGTCCCTTTGAACCTGCTTCACATACTCAATGCTTTCTCTGTTTTCTCCATCAAGCAATTCTCTCCTCTTTTTCTGTTCTTCCATTCCACCATCTGCTTTTTCCTGGGTGGTGCTTAGCATTTCTCTAACTATTCTGCATACTTCTAGCTTCAGGTCATTGATAACTTCATTCCTGAATTGGTCTATGAGGCTCTCTATATGGTGCTTAATGTATATTGGTGCGGTGTCCACTATTGCCTGATTCTCAGGATTGGGGGCCGAGGAGCCTTTTTTGTTGCTTCCCTTCCCCATATTTTCTGTTCCTTATAAAATGCAATCTTACATAGGAGGCCCGGCTTCCCTGCCTGTCAGCCACAGCCTGATCAAATTGCGCTGGCTAGTTGTTCCCGCCCACCGCTGCGCCCCAGGGAGTTGCGGAGGAGGCAGCCTACGCGGGAGTCAGTCGCTCCTCCGGGCCACCGTCAGGCTCTGGGATCTGGGTTAGGCCAGCCTAGGGAGTCCGCCAGCAGCGTCACGCAGGCCAGGCACTTTTCACCAATCCCGTCCGAGAGGGGAATGTGTGGCTGGAGTTGCCACCGCGCCCTGCTCTTACAGGACTGCCCGAGCCCAGAAAAACCTCCGCTGGAGTCAAACTGTGGTAGGGGGTAGTTTCTCTCTCACCTCGCCACCAGTCAGTTTTCGTGTACGCCTCCTTGTCCGTCCTGTTTTCGACTCCGTTCGCAGACTCCCGTTCCCAGAGCTCGGCGCGTCTCTCCCTGCCGAGCTGCTGTGGAGGCAGCCAGCCGCCGGGCGGTGGGAAACCCAAATCGCGGTTTCCAATGGCGCGGGGTCGAACCTCCACACCGAGACTTTTCTGTTCCTATTTTAGCGCCAGGACTGTATTCTAAGTTGGATTCTCTCAGCCCAGTTCGTTCCTGAGTCAGTAGAGCATATCTCTACTGGTTCGTATCTCCTTAGTCCGCATCATTCCTGGCCTCTGAGCCGAGCCTTTCAGAGAGCCTTCAGTAGTTGCTGTTGTCTGTCCGCCATGTTCTCCCGGAAGTCTCAGTTCTCCACATATTTAAGAGAGTGGTTTATGTTTCTTATGCTGTCAGATCTTGGTCCACAGAATATATCCACTTACTGTAATGTCTTTCCATAATCTCTTGTCACGTAGTAGAGTTAATTAATTCATATGTCATTTTTCTTGTAATCCACAAACGAGCCCCCAAACTCAAGTTCAAAAATGGGGCAAAAACATATTTTAAAAAATCAGTGCTGATTTGTTTTATCCTGAGCCCAGCGACATAGTGTAGTTGCAGTTTGCAAAAGCTATGTGTCCCCCTCAAAACTTGCAGACTTTATGTACATATCACAGTTTACAAAGTAAGGGGTTATGGGTGTGGATCAGGAAATCTGCTAAGGAAATGTTTTCCTTAGCTGAGAACAGAGTAGTCTACAGTCCTCAACAGATACATGAGTGTGAATATGAGGACAAAGTGAAGTAAAGCAAGTCAAGTTAAACCTGTATAAACAAGACTTCTAAGAGTGAGAATCTATGGCACTCACAGAGTACATCAAATTATAGAACCTCAAAGTCATGTCATCAGCAAGAGACAAATTATGTACTCTGTGGTCTCTAAGCCATGAGCAGATGTGTGTCCTATGATCAGCAGGGACCACTGTGAGAAGATTGTCTTGAGGTCCTGTGTCTTGTAGCCCAAAAACGAGCCCCCCCAGAGCCCCCCACCCAGTTTGGTGTCCAAAAATGGGGCAAGACATGTTTTTTAAAAAAAGCAGTGCTGATTTATTTTATCCTGGACCCAGCGACACAGTGCAGTTTGAGTTTGCAAAAGCTGTGTGTGTTGCTCAAAACTTTCCAGACTTTTTGTAGAAAGCACGATTTACAAAGTAGGGGGTTATGGGTGTGGATCAGGAAATGAGAAAAATTTTGATCTGCTAAGGAACGAGGAAGACCTGTGTTTCCCTTTGCAGAGGACACAGAAATCTCATAGGAATTTACAATCCTTTGTCAACTAATTTTAGTACTCAATTTTAGATAACATCTGTCCTTTGCAGAGGGGAGCAATGATTAACATATCAATTAGGTCACCCAGGAAGACGGCACATACAGAACAGTATGAACACACTACAGGTAATTTGCTCATTTAATGTGGGCATTGGTAAACATAACACAAACATAACGAAGTTCTTTTTGTTAGTGTATAACACTGTGTAGCTCAAGGAAAGAACCATTCACATAGAGGACCTTGACCAGCACATTAAGTCCAGTGCTCACTGACAGGCTCAGCTGCTGTGTCATATGTGAGCTTGCACAGCAGTTTGAGCAACAGTTTTGAGCAACTTTCAGAAGATGCTGCCTCCAAGTGTTGCAGGCAGCTGAGTTAGTCAGAAATATTATAGGCAGTGAGATAGGGATAGGTCCTCAAAGGATCCATTGCAGTAGCCTGGATAGTTTGCAACTCTCAGGGAGACAGACACCTCATGCTATGGCTCAGGCCTCAAGAAAAAGGATCAAATAAACCATCCACATCCTAAGGACTGATATTCTGATTGGTACCTTATCACCCTGGAGTCACCAGCCCATCCCCATAGGAGAAAGGTCACAGCTCCAAGAATGCTGGCTTCCTGACTAACTTGCTTTTGCATTTGTCCCTAATATAATCAATTTTCCCTAAACTATTGATCTTACTGGCTACCTATAAATATGTCCCACCTTATGCCCATCTGCCTTGTGAGTTCCCAGTCACCCCCATTCCATCCCACTTGCCTTGGACCCATCCTTATACTTTATAAAAGTCCCTAGAAAAGACAGTCTTGGGCAACACTCTCTGGACCTCCTTCTGTTGCTCTGACAGAAGCTTTCTTTCTCTCAAATATATTCTACTCTTCACCACTGTTGTTCCTAAAATTCATTCTTCAATTTTAGAGAGCAGGAGCTCATACCTGACATAGTAGATCAAAAGTTTCATTCCCCTAAATCACCAGAACTTGTACAAAGAGGAAATCAAATTTTCTTCCTTATTTTGCAGCATGAGCTGAGCACCAGAGCCAGGCCTCAGGCAGGGGCTGAGCCACAATAGCTGGGCACAAATTTGCATGACCAGCTCCTCCCTCAGAGGCTGGGAAAGAAAAGGAGGCTGGGGCAACTCAAGGCATGGTGGGGATCAGAAGGCTGCTTCCACCATGGCTGGACTCTTCTTCTTCTCCTGTTCCTCTCTCACTGCTCAGGTAAGAACAGACCATGCAGACAAACTGCAATTTCACAACCTCTGCTATGAGTCTTGCCAAACTTTAGCATGGTCACCGTTCCCTAATCCAGCCTGGTCTGTATTTGCAGTTTCCCTCCTCAGGATCTGGTGACTCAGGAACCCTCACTCTCTGCATCTCCTGGAGCAGCTGCTAGACTTACTTGCACCATGAGAAGTGACATCAGTGTGGGGAAAAGACTTATATTGGCACCAGCAGAAACCAGGGAGCCCTCCCAGGTTTCTCTTACACTACTACTCAGACTCAGATTAGTAACTGGGTTCTGGCTTCCGCAGCAGCTTCTCTAGTTCAAAAGATACCTCAGCCAATGCAGGCGTTTTGCATATTTCTGGGCTGCAGCCTGAGGATGAGGCTATTACTGGAGCATCTGGTACAACGATGTTTATCACAGTGACACCCATGGATGGAGAAGTGGCATAAAAACTGCAAAATGCCCTGTGAATTAACTATGAAGCCTTTTGAAATGAAAAAATAACTTGTATCTACAATAAGTACTCTTGGATTTAACTACAGTGTAACAGGATTCATCCTTCCAATCTGTGGAAGAATATTGCCAGACTCTCAGGAAAAAGAAATACAAACTGTCTTGGCCTCTAAATTTTGCTTTGTGGTACAGTGATTATACGATAATATAAAAGGACATGGCTGTGGTATTTTTATTTTGACAAAAAATATGAAATCCGCCCCCCGCCCCAGCTAATCAGAGACCTGGGTCCATCCAAGCAAGACCTGGCCTCAAAAGCATGGATTCTACACTTTCAAACATCACACCAAAGACTTCTCCCTGGCTTGCATCCAACACTGTCCAGTGCTGCTGGTGTCTCACTGTGTCCAGGACCGAAATACAAATTGGGGAGGGAGAACACAGGCTCAGGGATGATCTCAGGTACCAAGCTGGTCTGGTTCACTGTTTGTCACCTAAAGCCCCAGCTGCACAATGAAGTAGAGGGCAGTAGGCTGGAGTATATGGGAGGGATGGGGCCAGTAAACCACATCATGGGACAAGAAAGACAGAAGGGCGGAATCCACCTAGCCTTAGAAAGTGTCACAACACTACTGTCATTGAGACAGGATAGAAGAAATACAGATGAGTAGAAGGGATACAGAGAAAATCATTACTAAAATATTTGAATTTTGAACAAGACTCTAATACCAGGTCAAGTTGCTCAAGGTTATCCCTATCAATAAACTCTTGGTTTGTTTATGTTTTTTTCTGGTCTCTCACACTCAAAATTTCTTAAAGATACTTTATGTCTACAAATTTCTTTGTTGGTACAGAGCAAAATTCTGATATTATAGGAACACATTATGAGAGTATAAAAACATCTTATATTATCTGTCAAAACCTTTGTTAAGGCTCAGGCCTTACACCTGTGAAATAGGCCATTATCCAATGAGTGGGTCATCCTTTGTCCCATGAACCAAGGCCAAGAGGGTTGAGTGAGGAGCCGAGGTCCACAGAAGCAGGAGCTACACAGAAGAGAGCAGTGAGTCCCCGAAAGCTGCAGCCCTTACAGCTGTAAGTCATGACTTCCGGTGGGAACAAGCTGACTAGAAGGAGGGCCCTGGGATTCTCCTTTTGCCTCAAGAGAAGCAGGGGCATCTCTGGGGATGGCCGGGGCCTATATCAGTCTGTCTGAAAAGCCCACCAGTATCCACCAATGCCCAGACCAAAGCAAGACCTCTCACAGTGCCTCCTTTAAAATATAGAACTTTATTTAGTTACTGAGATTTTCATAAGTTCTTGGTTCACAGAAAGTCATTTCTTACAAAATTACAAAGGCAGCATTTTGTACAGCAACTCACATTGAGGCCACCAAACAAGTGCAAAGAACAGTGCTGGGGCTGGGAGGGACCAACCCTGTGTCCAAGGTCCTCGGAGAAGCCAGAGCTCACTTCCTCTGTCTCCCTCCCACCCACCCAGTGGAGCAGCACCTAGGGCCTTAAAGAACCAGCCTGGCCAAATGCAGGACAGTGACCCCAGCAGGCTGGTGGAGGCCCCACATGAAAGGCCAAGTGGGAAGGAAGTCATTCAGACTGGACTTCCTCAAGCAGTAGGGTCCCAGCTCACCTGGCTCTGCAATCCTGATACGTTCACAGTGCAGGTAGGTAGAACCCTGTGGGAGCTAGCCTTCCTCTCCTGCCTGAGGCCACCTACCTCATGTCTGCAGGCTGGGACCTGGGGACAGACAGTACTATCACCTCAGAGAGTTTGTAGGCAAGTGGGTGGGACAAGGTACAGATCCCCAGATCATTTCAAAAGGAAGCAGAAAGTGCTCAGTGCCCTGAGGAAGCAGAGGAAGTGTGACTGAGGTTCAGGACAGCACTGTCATCTGGAATGAGGGGACAGCCGTATAAAAATGGCAGTGTGTGAGCTAAACTTTGCAGAATGAATGGGACCAGCACACACAGATGTGCGGAGAAAGGTGAGCAGTAAGGAAAGCTTGAGTCAAGGCACGGAGTCAGGGACACAGGGGTAGTAAAGGCAGGACATACCCGTGAGAATGGGGATGCACCAAGGGCCCGGGCACCTCCCTCTGGAAAGGCTGGAACTGGAGGGGCAGCTGGTGTGGGTGTGCTCACACAGGCTCTGGGCCCTGCAGCAGGCACCAAGCTAATGTCTTGAGCTCAGGAGCTCCTTGAGGACTGGAGCTTCACACATTCCTGAACCACCCAGCCTGCATCTGCCCGATGTTTGAGGAAGCCCTTTGTCACTGTTTGTATCATGTCCCCTTCTCCCTGGGACAGCCTTTCCCCTTGCTTGTAGGACTATATCCCAGTCTAGGAGAACTGTGTCCTTAAGAAAACCAATTCAAGTGTGGTGCAGTCTCTGCAAGGATCAAGGGAGGGCCAGGACCAAACAAGGGGCTAGTTCTGGGGCAGCAGTTCTCTCTACCCCAATCACTTCCTCAGAAGCAAATATCTTTCCTGAGAAGAGTGAGGGTTTGGTATGTGTTAGATGATGTTCCCTGTAATTCTAAGAGGCCTGACCCCAAAGTTTCACATATGTTTGAGTTTCCCCAACTCTTCATAATCTACCAACTGTTAGAATAACCAGAAGCTCTCCAACTTCCATGCCCTTTTCTCCTTCCAAAGTGCTTCCAAGTTCCTGCTGAGGGTTGTGGAGCTGAAACGTTTTGGAGGTACCTTGTTTTGAGTCCCCAGGAGGCCAGGGACCTGTTTTTCCAAGAGGAGCAATGGACCAGGAGTCTTCTCAGGCACTGCTTCTATCCTGAGGGCCTTTGACCCTTAGCTCTTCAGAGGCAGGTCTGCATCCTTACAGGATGGTGCAGAAGATGCTGTGGTTGCTGTGGTAACCACCTTCCACACGAGCTGTGATCCTGGTTGCCATGGCTGCCACTTTCTGCCCACTGTGGGCCGCTGATGGGCCCCTGAGAGAGTTTTCAAGATGAGGCCGTGCTGGTGGGTTTACCAGGCACCACGTATCAGACCTGGAAGTACAAAAGGAAAGCCTGTGAGCTCTGGGATTTGACAGCATTTATCGAATGCCCTATACAATCTGATGTGCCCTTCCAGATCAGTGGGTTCCATTGTTCAAATTTGGGTGTAGATTTTGTCTCCTGAGTGTGACAGCCCAGAAAAATGAAGTGTGAAACCAACGGGAAAGGTCGTGTATCCTAAGTTCAGCTCTGCCTTCAATTCTGCACAGAACCTCAGAAAGTTTGCCTCTATGGGCCTCAATTTCCCCATTTTTTTTTTTGTGTCTTGTGTTGGGAATGGAACCCAGCGCTTTGTGCATTCTAGGCAAGTGCTTTGCCACTGAGTTACACTCTTAGCCAATGTTGTACTATAAGAAAATAGCTTCGTTATATGTGTACTATAACAAAACCTGTAACACGGCTTATGTATGTGTTTTCCTTTTCCCTTTCGATGACCTAATTGATATGTTAATCAGTGCTCTTCTCTGTAAAGAACTGTAAAACCTTACCTAATTGATATGTTAGCCAGAGTTGCCCTCTACAAACAACAAAAGTGGTGCTAAAACAAGCTAATAAGTGTTGTTAATCACTGTTAGGCACCTCTATTCTCCGCTAAAGAGCTAAAGAAAACTAGGATGGCCCTCTAATTTATAATTGTTTGAAGTAACTTGCTTGTGTGCAGGGAGATTTGGTTATTAGCATAACCCTTTATCTGACCTTGATCCCCCTCCCCAGAAAGAAAGAAAAACATAACCGCCATTTTCTGTTCTGTAGTACACCTTATTGCCTCCCCTCTCCCCTTACCTATCTATCTAGGCTAGGCCATAAAGATTTTGAGTTTCTGGTGACCTCTTCCCGACCCGGTGGTGGTCTGTCATAAAATGAGCCTGCTCTGTTTTTAAGAACTCCTTAGCTTCAAAGAAATTACAGGACAATGTTGTGGCTTAACCCTAATGCACCAAAAGGGTTAAGTTCCAAATCCTTGTGAAAACTTAAGTTTCAGCTTCTTGTAACTTTCAATGCCTTCCCACCTGTTAGTGTTAATGAGCTGTGCTGAAATAATTAACTTTCTACTTTCTTCTCCAAATGTTATCGCAGATAATGCTTATCTGCAGTATGGGAGTAACTCAAAAGGCGCCAAACGCTCCTGAGGTTGTCAGAACTAAGTGGACAGCTTTTTACAGTTTCCAGATTCGGGTCAACAAGTTTGATGGCTCTGCAAGTTTCTTTGTTTCTCACCCCCACCCCCCCGCCTTTCCCTCCAGCCTCTTTTTAAAGTCTCCCTTTAGTCTCTGGCACGCAGTCTCCAAATTGGCTCCTGGAGACTCGTCACCAGGCCTGGCCTGAATAAAGCCTTTGCTCCCCAAATTTCAGTCTCTTGCTTCCTTGGATTTTATACTGGGGTCCGAGTTATTACAGCCAACTGCTCCTTTTTTAAGGATTTGGAAGCAGGGCCAGGGATTTAGCTCATTGGTGTAAGCACCTGCCTGGCAAGTGTGAAGTCGTGAGTTTGATCCCTGGTGGGGGGGTGGAAAGGGAATTGATGGCTTTCTTTACACTTTCCTCTTTTTTTTCTCAGCTGTGTGACTGTGACTGTTCATAGATTTATTCATAATCACCCCAAACCACAAACTACCTAAACACCTTTCAGCTGGTGAAGGGGTAAACTAACAGCTACAGACATACATGGAAATTTACTTTGGAATAACAAGAAGTGACTTAACGCCACAGGTCAATCTTGGGTGCATTAGGCTGAGTGAAAGAGTAAGACTCCAAAGACTGTGTTTGTGTGGTGTGTGGGTATAGGCCTGTAACCCCAGCACTTTAAGAGGCTGAGGGAGGCGGACTGTAAGTTTGAGCTCAGCCTACCCAATTTAGCAATTTAGACAGTCTCAAAAAAAAAAAAAAAGAAAAAGAAAAATAGAGCTCAGTGTAGAGATCCTAGCTGCAGTCCCCAGTGCTGCAAAAACAAAACAACAACAAAAACTATTTTTACTGAGTGCGGCAATCATTACTTAGAGTGGCAATCCATCACAGGTTTCTGATGTAGCATGACCAGAGCTCTCGTTTGGAAAGGTTATCTAGGCAGGCTTAACAGTACAGAGTGAGGGTCGGGTGGCTGAGGGGCAGGAAGCCCAGGCATGAGGCTGCTGCAGTGGGAAAGGTGATGTTAAAGTGCAAGGATGACATCAATAACAGGATCACTATTATTTTACAACCCGTTTAGCAGCGCACTGGCCAATCCAAAGGGTTCATCCATAAACAACTGGGGCAGTTATGCTGGTAACACAGAAACACAGATCAGGGCAAGAGGTGCTGAGACCTCAGGTAGGGTGGTGGAGTTGTATAGAAGTGCATCTAAGAGGGCCTGAGAACAGATTGATCTTTGGTGTGAGGGAGGAAGAGGAAGCAGAGGTTGGGGGAAGACAAGTGGGAGGTAGTCGTGATACCCTGAGGCAAAGCATTAAAAACAGGATCAGCAGCAGCAAAAACTTTTTTCCTAATATGGGGGAACGAAACTCATGACCCTGTGCTTGCCAAGCAGGCGCTTACACCATCTTTATAATGCTTTCAATACTTAGCTAGGTCACAAGGTCTTATTTTCTCCTCAATTTGTGCCACAAAACGGGCATTAGCTAGATTTTACTGAAGCTCAAAGGTGCTAGGTAACTTGCCCCAGGTCATACCGCCAGTGACTGGCAGAACTGAAATTTGAAACCACTTTACCCCTCTGAGAAGTCTCTGAGAAATCTTTTCCCTCTCAGGAGGTCCTGGGCCACCCTGACGTAAGCCCTAAACTCAGGCCCTCTTCTGAGTGAAAGCAGGCAGGGCTGCAGGGAGTGGGCTGGGCCTGGCTGCCCCTCAACCTCACCGCTGCTCTGCAGAACAGACTCAAATAAGCCCAGGTACTTACTTTTTTTTGAAGACCAGGAACTTGTTGTTCTCCATAATGCAGTCTCGGTTGTTTGAGATCTGCTGAAAGATGGTCTTGTTGGTCTTGCCCTGGAAGATGATGTTCTCCTGCACCAGGGCCTTGGCATGGCCCCGCACTGCAATGCCATAGGCCCGGAATGAGTGGATCCGGTTCTTTATTACCTAGGAGAAGCAGCAGCCAGATCTCATCACAGACTGCGGGGGAGCCCAGAAAGGGAAGCATCAGTTAAAAAGTCAAGGGCGAAGATAATGCTCTGAAGGTCAGTGCAGAGCCAGAAGAACTCAAAGACGGTGAAAGGTGCCTGGGGAACCAGGAAAGGCTCATCAGAGGAGGTGAAGGGCAGGCTATAGGAGTCTATTGGGTACAGAGCAGGGGAGATGTGTCCATTAAACAAAGGGCACAGGCCTGGCAGACGGAGGGCATGGATGACAACTGCCACAACAGCGTGCCCCTCCGTCCTTCCTCGGTTCCCCCAGTAGTGCTCAAACGTGAAGTCAAAGAGCCCTGTACTCCTTGCCTAACTCACTGAATCATGCGGAGCTGGGAACCACTAGAATCACACTTTCACAATGCTGAAACCCTAGAACCCAGCACAGTGCTTTCTGTAAAAGATGCTTGGCCCTGAGGGGGAGACAAACGGGTGACAGATACAAAGAATTATGGGAAGATCTGGAAGTAGGGTGGACAAAAGCACTGTAGAGGTTCAGGAAAGGGTACCTCAAGTAGCCTGGGGGAACCAAGTAGTTCCTCCTGAAGAAGGAAACAGCTAAGCTGTAGGAATAGGATAGCGAGAGGATAGGGGAGGTTCTAGATACACGGAATAGTGGGGCAAAGGCCCTCAGGCCCTCAGGCAGGATTTCGCTCCCTGTTAATCACCTACTGTGCAACAGGTCCTGTGCAAGCTCATTCTGTTGGGGAAAGCACGCAGAAATAGTCTGACCTTGCCCTGGAGACCACAAGTTACTTCAAGAGACCCTAGGAGGTTACACTTCTGGCTTCCTGCCGGTGAACCGTGGTTCATCTTTCTGGGCCCAGTGCCTACATTTCTGTGTGAAACATCTCTCAGGAGGTGTTCTGGCAGGAGGGGTGATAATCCTTGAAAGGCTTTAGTGCTTGTGGTTCTACTTCTCAGTACAGTGTTGAGTCCTGGTCCTGGCATTGAGCCCTGTGCTGGCAGCAGATGTCACACACATGCACACACTCACCTTAGTGTCAGACCTGGGCAGCAACTGTAGCCCACTGCCCCGGTTGCCAATGATGTCATTTTCGATGACAACAGTGCTGTCACCCTTGGTAATGATGCCATGGCCTCTGTTGTCATAGATACCATTGCCCCGGAGCTCCACCTTACACTGGGCCTCAACCTTGACCCCACTCTGGCGGTTGCAGGAGATGCTGTTGTTGGTGACACGGGTGAGCTGGCTGCTCTGGGCTACAGTGATGCCTCTGTCCCCATTGGCATGGATAACGTTGGTGACGATGTGCAGGGCCTCGCTGCTCTGGACGTACACTCCGGAGGCTGCAGGCAGAGTGGGAGGGAGCAGGGAAAGCAAGGTGATCCCAGAGTCAGCCCTAATACCACCAATCAGGAACCTTCCCCCAGTTCTGGGCCCTAAGAAGAAGGGGAATAGGCAGTGACACTCAGACCCAGCATGGGGTGGGAATCTTCCAAACTAATGACAAACAGCAGAAGGAAACCCTGGTGCAACAGAAAAGCTTCTCCTGTTGTAATGATTGTCATCACAGGCATTCACAGACACAGGCTCTGAAGATGCTTCTTAGCTTTGATGGTCTTTGGGCCCAAGCTTTCATCCCGGGCATGAAAGCCTCCTACAACACAATCCTACTGATGTGTACACCTCCTATGATGGGGAGCTCACTGTCCTCTCAAGGCTGTCCCTGTCACCTCTAGACAGACAGCTCTACCTGCCAGAGGCAGGTGTTTTTATCTGCTCTGTTTTATTGCCTTCCTTCCCATTTGAGCTGGACTCTGTCTCTCTATTGCTTTAGGAAATTTTCTTTGTAAGAGAAATCCTGTAATTTTTAGATAAAAAATTTAACAAGCTAAGTAACATGTATCTAAAAGGTGTTAGGCACTTTGGAAAGGAAAACTGGTGCTTGGAACGGAATATGTGAGAGGCACTATGGATATGTGTGAAAAAGCATAGACTCAGCAGGAGTAAAGCCTCTGACTGCCGGGGGAGAGGCCTGGCAGCTGGACTCTAGGGGGTGGCGTCTCCACCTTCCATCACCTTTCACTGGAGCAAGGGGACCAGGGCTGTGCTGGGGGGGTGGGACGTGGACAGTGGCTGGGGTGATACTGAAGCAGTCTGGGCCATAAGCCTGCAAGTGTAAACCTTTTGGTGACATGTGCCTACTGCTCTTTCCAGCTTGGATGAAAACAGCAAAAATAAGTATTTGTGAATTTACACAGCTTTGCCTGTCCCACAGGAGAGCATGGCCACACAGAGGAAACCCTGAATTGGCAGAGGACAGAACTCATTTCCCAGACAGGTGGGTGTGAGCTGCTGGCTACTGATCTCTGCCCTGTTACTCCTAGAGAAAAGCAGTCCTGCTTCTCAGGGCCTACATCACTTCCTTCCTCTGTCGGCCATCTGATTCTCACTCGTAACACACGTCACTGTGGAATGAGAAGCAGGCAAAATTCATAGTAGGAAAGGGTATACGAGTACGTTTAGAGCAGGTTAGGAATTTCAAGTTAGTCTGGGATGTGTTGGTGGGAGAAGGGGAATTTCAGGCAAGAGAAACAGTGTGAGTGAAGGCGGAATCAAGAAAAAACTGGTTCATGTTTAGGGATTCAAGTCTAAGGGCTTTGGTACGCGGAAAACGGCAGAAGGAAGCAGCTGCTAAGGCTGGAGAGCCACGGTGGGATCAGTCTGTGAGGGCTCTCAAGAGCGGGGAGCCCCGGAAGGTTCTTCAGCAAGGCCTGGGCCCAGGCACACTCACCTCCATTGTGATTAATACTGTTCGACTCTATGAGAGCTACGGTGACAGGCCGGCGCAGCGGGTCATCCTCCTTCTCCAGCTCTGTCTCCCACAGGATGGCGTCCCCATCCTCGCTGAAGTTTTCCTGGGCCCCGTGACCTCCGGGGAACTCACTGGAGCCGTCCTTTTGGCTGAAGACTGCCACTCCATACAGGCCATTGTAGCTCACGTGGTTGCTGGTGACATGGGGCAGGCTAGATGACATCATCCACACACCACAGCCCTTGTTAGCTGGAACAGTAAGAGGAGCTGGTCACTGACTTCCAGCAATGGGTAAGGCAGCCCCCAGTGCTCCCCAAAATGGGGAGCAAGAGGTGATGGTCTGTGAAAAATCATTTCACAGCTCTGGCTGTGGGTTTCTCCTTCCTATAAGACAATGGCCAAGCCAGGTCACTCTCGCAAGCTGGGATCATTTCCCAAGGTGCAAAAATGCTCTGAGAACTGCCAAGTCCCACTTTCAGATCAGCACACAAACTGGAGCACCAGCCTCATCCTGCAGAGGAGGAAGCCTTAGTCTGAATCCCAGCTCTACCACTTCCCAGCTGTGGCCCTGACCAGGTTGCAGAACTCTGTGCTTCCTCATTGTTATGTACTTGGAACTGGGATGGAACCCAGGGCCTTGCACATACCAGGCCACACCACGAGTCCTTTTGAAATTTTATTCTGAAACCAGGCATGGTGGTGCATGCCTGTAATCCTGGCTCTTTGGAAGGTTGAAGCAGGATGATCGTAAGTTTGAGTCCAGCCTGGATGGTTTAATGAGACCCTGTCTCAAAACATAAAATAAAAATAGGGCTGGGGATGTAGCCTAGTACAAAGGCCTTGGCTTCAATCTTTAATACTTCCCAAAAGAAAAACTGAGACAGGTCTTGCTAGGCTGCCCAGGCTGACTTGAAATCCTCCTTCAGCCTCAACCCCGAATATCCGGGATTACAGGTGTGTGTAACTGTGTGTACAGTTACAGGTGTGTGTAACAGTGTGTACACTCCCTCAGCACTTCCTCACCTTTAGATTGGAGCTAGTAACTGTACTCACTCAGAAGCAGTCATGGGAGTTCAAAGTAATGGTGCCCGGGAACAGCCTGGCAGAGATATGGGTCCAAATCAATATTGTCTATTATTATTGGAGATACAATCTAGGAAGAATAAGGGTCTTCTCAAAATCCCAGAGTGAATAAGAATAGTGTTTTTCTCCCTGGGATTATGTTTCCTCATTATATTTCCACTTCTCTGGGTCAAAAGATGCAACTAAAGGTGTTAGGTGCCCATGCGCTGGAGTGCGAATGAACTGCCTTTACATATAATCCAAGGTATTTTGAGACTAAAGCTCTGCTTTTCTAACTGCATGGAGTCAATGTGGATTACTGAGAGAGGCTCCTCATTCTGAGAGGGTCTGCACAGCTCCCGTAACTCAGATGAGGTCTTTGAGGCCAGAGAAGCCAGTGACTTTCTTAGGACCCCTAAGCTGGATGGAACCTGAGCCTCCTGCCTTCCAGGCAGGCCTGGACCCCAGCCCCTTGCCCTGGGGCCATGCTCCTCACCATAGATGGTGTTTCCTTCTATCAGTCCTTTGCCTTCGTCGCCCACAACCACACCATCCGAGTAGCCAAAGCAGATGAGGTTGCTCCTGAGAACAGGGATCCCTCCACGGCGGATGTCCACGCCTCCCCACTGATTTTCACGGATGACATTTTCTACGAAGAGAGGTAGAACCAAGGTCAACACCCAAAGTCCACCTTCATCAGCAGTCAGAACCTTAAAGCTTGTAGGTGATATTTCTGGGACTCGTCCACTACCCTGAGGGCAGCATTTGCGTCTGTCTTGTGCACATCCCAGTCCCCACTGGCCCCAGTGGCCTTTGGAAGAGAACACACGAGCTATAGGGCCTCAAGGACAGAGTCCAGCCGTTGCCCGCAGGCCTGGGAAGGCTGCCTGTCTTGGCCTCAGCCATGCTGTCTGTAGACACTTCCTCTCCTCTTTTTTGGGAGCCAGCCCTTCTCAGGGATGCAGTGAAGAGTCATGGGTCAGAAGAGTGACCCCAGCCAGTGACAGAGAACCTTGTAGAGTGCCCAAACTGCAACCCAAAATCCACATGTCACAAAGTGCCAACACTGCGATTAATGCTGAACACTGAGGTGCTAGTAAATGATTAACAGCTTTCGCCTTAAAAGAAAAACAATGTGTGTGCCATAGGTGTCCCACTACTGTGGGACACTGCTGTCATCTGCACTGGCCGGGCAGACTCTGGGCCTCCTGAAATCACTCCCCAGGACCTGTATGACTGGCTCCTTCTTGCCGTGTGACTCAGGCCCATTCTCCTCATTCAGTATCCTCCGGGCACTGAAGCAGTCTCATAGCTCAGGCATGCTGAGTCTGTCTCAGCATGGGAGATGCTTTTCCTAGGTTGCTTCCCAGCTTCCAGATTTTGTTTTACATGTCACTCTCTCAGAAAGGCTGCCCTGACCACATAACCTGGATCACACAGGCCCCCTCTCTTTATGTAGATGGCTGTAGAGCCCTTGGCACCCTCAGTTTGGCACTGTTTTTGCTTGCTTATATTGGCTTTTACTTACTTCCTCGCTTTTGCTCTAAAATGTGAGTTCCTGAGAACAAGAGTGACTTCTGTATCCCCAGCTGCTGGAATGTGGCCTACACACAACGGTGCCCACTAAGTGATGAATGACAGCAGCAGTCAGGGGCTTCCTGGGCCAGGGTCCCACGTGTGACTGTACTCTCCGCTGAGGTCCACTGGTGCATCCGGCAGACTCAGCCCTTGTCTTGTAGAATGTACAAGAGGAGATGGGACAACACAGTGCATCCAGAAATTAATTAAAGTGCCCTACAGAGGAGGCATCCTGGACACAGCGAGGGTATCTATGTATAAAGGGAGGTCAGGGGTCAGGGAGGCTTCTCTGAGGAGCAGGAGACATTGAGAAGAAATCTGGAGGGTGAACAGGAGTTGGCTATGAGAGATTTCCAGGGCAGATGCACAGTCACACAAAAGCCCAGAGGAGGATTCAGAGAGTTCCTCTGGTGTCCATGCTTATGAGGGTGTTGTGACCCACCAGCCCTGGGCCTGGCAGAAGCAAGGACATGATGTGCTACACCCACATGAGGACTATCGCCAGCATGGAGCTGGGTCCATGGTGCCCTTCACTGGACTGGAAGAGAGGACTGCAGCAGGTGAGGGGCTGGTGCAGGAGTAATGCCAGGGGCAGTCCTGGCACGGCTGCAGGCGGTCCCCACTGCATACCTGTGATGAGGCCCTTGCCGTTCTCATTTACGGCTATGCCAGCTGCACGCCCCTTGAAGATGTGGTTCCCACTAAAATGGAAGGGAACAAGATAAGAGCCGAGAACCAGGATACCAATGTCCTGTCTGACACTGCCTTCAAGTCGTGAAGGCCACCACCTTCTTCTGGGGTGCCCCAGTTCACAGGGTATCAAGCATTTCCTAAGTCATATAAATCAGGCCCTTGAACATTTTTGGTTGTCACTGAGACTGCTTGCCCCCTAAATACGCAATATAAGCACAATAATATCTTTTTTTATGACTTCTTTTTGCTGTCACCTATATATAAATATTATTTTAAACAGATGTCACCACAGCGCATGCATTGGTGGCATGAAGAATCCCTACGAGGCTGTGCTAAGCTTGCTTAGGAGTGATTGTGGAATACGCTGTGGCTTAATTCAACTGAGTCACGCCTTAACCTTCCTCCCAGACCCTATTTCATGTCACCAGCACAGTGGAGAAAAGCATAACCTCTTCTCTTCACATGACTATGTTTTACTGACCCACAACACTGAGCTCATTGTGCTATTTTCTTTACTCAAAACTCTCATGTTTCCCCAGCACTTGCAAGGTGCACTATGATCAGATTTGCCTAACAGTAATAAGATTGGATAAAAATCATGAAATATCCCAACAGAATGTTCTGAAATTTTCCAGAGTAATACATGTAAAAGCCACGCAGCACTGGCCCTGAATCAAGGCCGGCAGCTTCCTGATGCTGTTGGTTTCAAGCAGGAACCTAAAGAGATGTCTTTCTATGGTCTGTTGGCCATTTCAAAACTTGGGCAGTGAAACGGTCAATTCCCAGGACGGGAGCCTCTAGCGTTTAGTGGGACACGAGCCATGTTAGGACCTGGAGTGCCGGGAAACCAAGCAACCCCTCCCCCCCTGCCTGCTTTGTTGTTGAACTTCAATATACATGAAAGCATGGAGAGCTATTTTGAAGAGAACGAGAGACTCTACGACAGCCATTAGTGACTTCCCTATTGTCTGGTTTTGAAGATCTAAAACGCCTTCCTCATTCTGTTCAGATAGTTTTATACTATGTTGTTTTGTATGAATTCTCTGTATGTGAAGACATGGACAACTATCTGGAAGAAAACAAGAGACAATATGATAGATAGTGAAGATCTCAGGTCATCTAGCTTTGAAATTTATATCTTACATTGCTTTCTTATGTCCTACTTTGTTCTGTTTTGTTGTGTTTAATTTTACCCCCTTTAAAAAAAAAAAAGCCACGCAGCAACCTAGAAATATAGATAGGGAATAACTTAGGGGAAACTCAGGATGTATCTGCTTGCATATCAATGCCAGCTATTTTTGTAAAGCACAGACATAAATATGTAAATCTGCTGTTCTAAAATCTTTAAAGATCTCCCATTGTCATGACAAAGCCAACTCCATCTTCCTCAGCATGGCTGACAAAAGGCCTTCCTCTTCCAGTCCAAAAATTTCTTACCCCCATTTCTTTCCATCATGCCACAAGGCACAGACAGATGACCACACAGGTATAAAAGAGCAAGCTGCAGTGACCATGGGGTCCAGGGTTTTCTGGGACAGTCCCAACTTAAAAATTCTCCTTTTTTCTCAGGCCAAAGAGCACTGTCCGCTCACCCCAGCTCTGCTGCTTTTGCTCACGCTGCCCCCTTCACTGGGAAGGTCGCCCTAGCTCCACGAAGTCCAACCCCAATGTCCTGTGAGGACTTCCCACATTCTCCCTGTCAAAACGATTCTCTCCTTCTCTTGATACCACTCTGATGGCATCTACTGCAGCTGGCCCTTGACTGTACCTGGGATGGAAGGAACACGGTACTGCCACTCTCCTTCCACTGACAGCCTGTGTCACTAATGGGTCACAGCACTAATGGGTGACACTAATGGATCTTAACAAGTATTCCAGGTACCCACGTACCCGAAGATTGGACTTGACACACGAGTGGAAATCTCTACACCACCTACTTCTTTCATTATCTCTGTGCCTCTACACTGTCCAGAGGTTGCCCCCTTGTTTCCCTTTGTTAATGCTTACGAGATGCATTCAGCAATGTTTGCTGAACCCAAAGTAAAATAAGGCCAAATGGAATGGAGCTGGAAGCCTAAACACAATTGCATTGCTGGGGTAAGATGAGCGAAGTCTCTTCTTTGCTTCCATCTGTACAGCTGTAGTAAACAAAAATATTTTCAAATGAAGGAAAGGATTAGGGCAACAGATGAGACAGCACAGGATGAGAACGAGGTAGCCTGGAGCAGCCGGATGGCGGGGGGACAGTACTGCATACCTCACTATTGGATTTCCATGATACAGGATATAAATGCCAGCCTCCTTATTTGAAAAGATCTGGTTGTTTCTTATGACGCCTTTCCCGTTGCCAAGGACAACAATGCCAGAGCGAAGGCCATGGTGGATCTGGTTACACTGCCAGGGAAAACAAGACACCATAGAAAACAGATCAGATGTGCCAGCAGCAAGCAGGGTGCTCCACCTCTGTCCACATGACTGCACCAGGATGGACACTGAGGAGACAAGAGCGTCACTGGAAGGTGCCCAGCACATGACAAAGAGACCAGACCAACTGCTATCCTGCCTTTCTTCACTAGCACACGTGCAGAAATAGTCAGGTAAGAACAGCCTCTTGGGATACACTTTTACTGGTATTTGCTGTTGAAGGTTCTTGTGCTTCATCTACAAAGCAGCTAAAGAAAACATCTGAGCCTCTTTAGTGTCTTCCAAACACACAAATGTCCAGCCATGCCTGCCTCCCAGGGCCCCAAGGAGCACACATCTTGGAGAAGGACAGCACCCCAGCTCAACAAACGCTGGCCAAGAGCAGTCCCAGGGAAGCCACATCAGAAGAGCAAGAGTCATATGGGTTCTGGCCCTCACTTCTCATTCAGCAGAGGATCTATGGAAGGATGGACACCTTGGGGCTGGTCGTAGGAGGCTGTCCAAGCTACAGGACGCTCAGAGAGACTCATTTCTGCTACCTCTTTGTACGTGGGGAAACCGACCCAGGGTCATATATTTTTGACAGTGCCAGATCTGGAATCTAATTTTGTTGCCTTTCAGTCAAGTTCATTTCTTTTTGTGCAGTGATTTCATTTACAATAATTTGTAACAGAATTATATCATTCTTACTGTTAAACACATATCCAAAATCTAATTCCATACTTAAAGCAGAAAGTTACTGTAGCTCTCACAAAACAGTATCATAGAGAGAAGGATCTAACTTGCTGTATTGTATGCAGTAAATCCTCCTCACTTTTACCTGGTTTTCACTCATTCTGAAAGGTTTGGCAGACTCAGCAGGACAACCGCTGCCTGAGAGAAATCCCCCAGAAAGCTGAAAAGCTGGAAGACAGGTGTATGAAACAATACTTCCATCCCTGTTCCCTTTCACAAAACCAGTATTGAACCCTACAACTCCCTCCCCCTCTACCTGTCCTTCTGCCATGGCAACCACGCTCATCTCTGGCCACGGTGGCGGTGACTTCCTAAGGCACAGCATGGCAGCCACCTGCTGCCTGGGAGATGCACAGCGAGGGGAGGGGTTGCAAGAGGACACGGGCTAAATATGCCTTTTAAAATACAGCTAGGGACTTTCCTTCCTCTGCATTTGCATGGACAGTCTTGATATTTTGGGCTAAGAACATCAAGCCTGAGTCAGACAGCCTGGATTCAATCCCAGCTCCTTTGCTAGCTGTATAACTCTGGACAAGATCATTTGCGTCTTCGTGTCCAGCATCTCCATCTATAAAATGGGCATGATGATAATAATTCTACTTCATAGAGCTGCATAATGATTAAAGGATAATTACACAAATATCTAGAGTGCTTAGAAAAGTTTAAGTTGTATAATAAACATTATACTCAAGGGTGGGTATTATTTTTCCAACCCTATAATTTCCCAATTTCTAGAAACAGTTTCTCAGGAAAAGCCAGACTGGAAAAGGAGCTGATCTCTTATGTCACTGGTCTTATATACTAAAATTTTAAGTGATTTTCATTCTGATAGAAAATAAAACTTGATATGCTCCCGAAACATGTAGTCTTCAGAACTATCTTACACATCCTTTGTATACATAAGGACAAACTAACTAGCTGAGTTGTTTTAGACCTAAGTGACTTCTAGGGAAGACATGGACAGCTTTATTCCCATCAAACTCAAAGCCATCCACAGCATATGAAAGCCCAGGGTGGGCTCTTTTTCCTGTCTATCCAATCCTCCTTCTTACTGAGGCAAACTGAAAAAAGTGACTTGTCTAAAGTCAGTGCTAACACATGGAGAAAGAAAGAGGGACAGAGGTACAAGGACCTACAGAGAAAGAGCAGAGGTTACTTGCAAATGTGAGGCATATAAATTTAATATGGCAACATTTAAATATTCTCAGAAAATTATTCTGACAACCACTCTGAATGGGAAAGGAACACAGGGAAAAGTACCAGGATGAGTGGATTGGATTTCTTCCGGATGTCTACACCAGCCTCTGCATTGTGGTAGATGTTGTTGCCGGCAATCAAACCTCCCCCCTCCAAGCGAAGAAAGATGCCTGATGCCCGGCAGCGGTAGATGTCATTCCTGAGCATGACAATCTGAGCAGAAGAGAGAAAGCCATTTATCTTCCTGTTCACAAAGATTTTGTGAGAACATACCAGCATCCCACATCAAAAACACTGGGGATACACCTAAGTTTTTTCCCTCCCAACTGGTTCCCAAAGTTCCCCAGTAGGTAAGGGGAACACTTCACTGTGCACCCCAAATCCCACTGTGTGCTCCTGGCCTGGCTTGGCATTACCCTGCAGCCCCTTACCAAGCCGCATGTTGGAACTTTACCAGGACCAGATGAAAAGCTTGGCCCTGGCCTCAAGCCCCCGCTGGAGAATGGGATGGAAAGGATGCTTCCAGAAGGTGGTACTCAGTGATCTTCAGACTTCATATCCTAGGGCTACAGTACCAGTACACATCTCTCCCCAAAGCTCCGGGGCCTGAGAGGGCGCTGTGGCCAGAGGTCTCAAAGGCTTCAAATACAATGTTCCCAGAATTGAGCTTGTCTCTCTTGCCACACCCTTCCTTCTCCATGTTCCCGTCACTGCCACTCATGCCAGGAATGCAGTGCTCAACTGTTCCCTCCCTAGTCTTCTTCTCCATCTCGGGACCACAGATATCTCCTTGCTTTCACCTAAATCTGTCTACAGTTCTCCTTGGCTTAAAATTTCTCAGCAGTTCTCAACAACCCTCATGGTGAACTCTGATCTCAGTCTTGGTGGCAGTGTCTCTGGGCCTTCTGCATGGCTCCGTCCCTCCACCCCCCTTGCCATCCTCCTGCCCTGCGCTCTGGCTGCTGAGTGTCCTTTCTCCCTTCTGGGCTTTCTCCCAGGCCTCCCGAGCAGCACAGCTTCACCTTGCCAGCTCTTACTCAAACTCGACACTGTCCCTGTAGGAAACCCTTTCTGGTTCCTTGAGGCTGGGCAAGGTGTTCCCTTTCTAGGCTGCGGTGCCACCCATGGCAACTCTGTCACGGAACCTCTTATTTTAGTCTGGTGTCATTTTTTCAAAAAACAAGTATTGCTTGTTATACACAGGCACACCGCTGAGCACTTTATGTATGTAACCTTCTACAATATCCTCACTACACCTTGGAGACAGGCAGGATTGTTAGTCTAAGGAACTTTGGTGGCAGAGCCAGAATTTTAGTTAAAAGCCGTACTCTTAATAACTATGTAAGGAGGAAAATTCTCGAGGACTCAAACCAGACCTTTTATCATGGTACCCATGAGAACAAAGCTACAACCCTTCCATTTTATTTTCTGTATAACCTGAAACTGTGCTTTCAGAGTACAATCACCTAAACTCCTCTTTCCAAGTGGGCTGGGTAACAATTAAAATGTAAGTGCTCTTTAGGATTCTAGAAGCCCAGAGACCCGTGGGTGACATCTGTGTAACGCCTTTTAGTTTATACTGACTACTTCTGCCCCTGCTAAGCACTGGGCTCCTCAGGTAGATTTCAGGTTGATCTGCACACCCACAGTGCCTGCACAGGCCAGGTGCTGATGCCTCAATGGCTGGGGGTGCTCTTGGCAGGAGTTCGCGGTGTCTCAGTGAGGCTTTCCGGGACTAGGGGCTTTGCCTCTGTTAGGCCCCTTCCCACCTCCACGGCTGCATCTTTGGCAGCATCCAACACAAAATGTTACTGCTGTTGGAATGCTCTAATTTGCTCCCTATTTTACCATATACTTTCTACTTTCTCTGGAATCTGTACTTATCCTACTCAACACTGACATCTTGTCTTCTGGGTAAACTTTTCAACTAACCCACTGAAGTTTAAATTGAAGGCAGTGATTGTGTCTCCCTGAGGTTTTGTGTGTGTGTGTGTGTGTGTGTGTGTGTGTGTGTGTGTGTGCATACCAGGAATTGAACTTACAAACTTATGCTTGCCAGGCAGGCGCAGTGCTGCTGAACTTTATCCTGGCCTTCCCTGAATTTTCTCTTATCCATGCTAAAAAGGTCTTGCTTCCTCTACTAGGATCTGGGTGACATCTTGAAGTAGCAGCATGACAATGAACAGAAGCAGAAGACCTGGGTTCTAATCTCAATTCTGTCTCATACTCGCTGTGTGACTCTGTATTAAGGCACCTTCCCTCTCTGGGCCTTTGTTTTCTTTTCTGTGAAATGAGAAAAATAGTTTTTGCCCTGCCCAAGTGAGATGATGAGTATAAAGTTCTCTGTGTTACTATGCTTTAAAAAAGATTATTTGAGGGGGCTGGGGATTTAGCTCAGTGGCATAAGCGCCTGCCTTGCAAGTGCATGGTCGTGAGTTTGATCCCTGGTACCAGTGGAAAAAAAAAAAGATTATTTGAAATGATAAATAACCACCCCACACCCTTCCTACATATAGCCATGCACCTTCTCAACAATTAACAGTCTTGCCCAGTGACCCAATAGGCCTCAGTCTAAAGATTGGACCCTCAGGACAGCACCTTGCTATTATGTATGCACCGCACTGCGTAAGTCAAGTTCCGGAAGACGTTTCCTTCCATCTTGGCTCGGCCATAAGAACAGACGAAGACACCGCCTTTCCCATCCCGGAAGAGGCACTTGCGGATCAGGCAGCCCTGCACAGAGCTGGCCAGTGCCATGGCTTCCTTGTCCTTCTGTAGCTCCTGCTGCAGGGAGTTCAGCACCAGGCAGCTGGGTAGCTGAATGGATGCTCCGGGCAATGGTGGGCCCAGAAAAGAGCCCCCCAGGACAGGGCGTGGGCCCTGCACTTGGTAGGACAATCTGTATGTGAGCTGGTCCTCGTCCTCATCCTCTCCACTGGGGCTCAGGCCTCCATCGCTGCTGTCTGGGGTCTGGGCTACCCTTTCTCCATCGCTGCCCACCTCTGCCTCCTGCGAGCCAGCCTTGGAGGCTGGCTTTGGGGAGCAAGAGGCAGGGACGGTAGGACTCTGGCTGCCCTCAATGACAATGTCGCAGGTCCTGGGACTCCAGGCCTGATCCCGGCTCTCTAGGTCCAGGGACATTAAAAAGTCAGAGTCCTCTGTGGGGAGCAAGCTGGGAGAGGACCTGATAAGACCCAGTAGATACTTGTAGGCCCAGTTCTTATCTGCTGATGGGTGGCCCTCCACAGTCACAGAGTTGTTTTCGCTGCCCACGAATTCACAGTTTTCCAGGACACAGAGGGGCACGTTGTGCAGAAAGACATGGGTGTTTTTGAAGGTACAAAACTTCACTTGGCAGGTGCCTGGGCCATGGACCTGGATGTGCCCATTCTCAAAGTTGCAGTTGTCAAACTGGACATGACCTGATGTGGTCTGGAAAATGAGAAACAGAATATGGCTGTAAGTGGGGTAAGCTGTCTTTATGCTGATCTCTAAGGAACATACAGCAGGGAAAAGTCATTTTTATCATTTCCCTTTCCCCACCAGGGAATGGGGGTCAGTTCCCAAATGACTCAGGAACTGCCCTGCTGCAGAGAGGGGGGACAATTGGGAACTGCCTGTGCTTCTATGCTTCCTATCTGAACATGGAGGACAAAGGCGAAGGATGGAAGGAGAGCTCGCATTCTGCAGCACTTTCCTATACATCTCGGATCGTAAGTAAACTCCCCTAACGCTCACGAAATGCTCAGTGAGAATCTCTTTCTCCCTCTGCCCTGCCACCTCTCTTGGTGAAAATCGAGACAAAGACGGACAGAATGGGGAGGAAGGGGCACACAGGGATGCTGGCGGGAATGCTGCTGCACAGGTGAAGGAGGACAGATTCCCTCAGGAGTAGGTCTGAAATGGTGATGAGAGGTTTGAATTTTTACAAATCGGGGTCTGAGTCCAACTTTACCAAGCTCCAAAAGGTGGGGGAGACCCCACCCAGTGACTGGATTGTATGAAGAGTGTCAAATCCTGTACAGAAGCGTCTCCACATCTCCTTTCAAAGTGCTTTCCCTTTGTGCCTTTTTTAGGCCCCACAGGAGTACGCTGGCCACCTGGGTCTGCTGCCCTGAGACTCAAATCTGGCAGGGCCATGGGGAACCCTTGTTTCCAGCATAGGAGAAAGCAACCAGGAAGAGCTGAGCCCTGCCTGAGCTGGTTTAGGCAGTGGGGGAGGCACAGGCATAGGTCTGAAAAGAGCCACATGCAGTCATTGGTGGGTGTGTGTGTGTGTGTGGTGTGTGTAGACAGCAGGCTGCACTTTTAAATACACGGGCCAAAGGATACTTCCATGGCCCAGGAAGTGGGGACTCACCTGTGGGACAGCTCCCAGCCCTGCCTCTTTCCAAGTGTGTTCACCAGTGATCACCTCTCAAACCTGTTTCCTTGTCTGTACCATGAAGCTCACTAGTTAATAAAGTACGAAGCGCAGTGCCAGGCACATAGCTGAAACCTAGTACAACTTACCTACTATTGTCTGGGGCTGGGGATACAAGGAACAGAAAGCTGGGCTGAGTAAGGGGAAGTCTCAGCACTAAAACCCACGGGGTGATTCATCTGGGCTGCGCTCAGCTCTGGGCTGAAGGAGAAGCAAGCTCGGTGTGATCTACTGATCTGTATTCCTGAAAGAAGAACTATTTCTAAATTGCACACCAATTCCATCACAAGGATCTGAATCATAAAACAAGGAAGTGTCTCACAATCCCATTCAATAATCCAGACACATTTACCCCTGAAAAAATTTAAAATTCCTTGACAGCTTATCTGAGAGCTTAAGTGCCTTACTTAGTTCTTCTAAATTATTCTTTAATGCCTGCCCCTTTTTTTGAGACAGGGTCTTGCTATACAGTTCAGGCTGGCCTTAAGGCCTTTGACTCTCTGTGCAGCTCAGGGTAGCCTCACAGTGTAGCTTCACTGGTGATCCTCCTGTCTCAGGCCTCCTGGGTGCTGGGATCACAGGCATGTGCTACCACGCCTGGCCAGTCTATTTTTTTTTTTATTGTTGCCATTTAAGTTCATTTTCTCTCCCTTGTCTTTTATAAGGATAAAGGCCAGCATTCTGGAGGTGCAATACCATTACTACGGTTCTTCTTAGAAGTCACTGAAAACTGACCTAGGAAATCATCCTGGTGGGCCCTTTTACTTAAAAGATATTCAAGGACTGAGCACTAATATATGCCGAGCACTAAGCCAGACAAGATTACAAAGAAGCCCGAGGCCTGGAACCTTCCCTCAAAGATCTGTGGAAGCGCTTAGGAAGGGCAAGTGGAACCTGAAATTAACATATTACTCTAAGAATAATATACAAAGTGTGACACCTCTGGGACACTGTTGCTAAAAACAGTCTCCCTCTGAGCCTGCAGATCAGCATAAAGGAAATTCATAAATCCTCTGCAACATTGTAAAAGCAGGCTTTTACCCTTCCAAGGAATCTAGTGTGATGTAATTTCTTAAGTGCTTAGATCAGAAGGCCTGGATTTGAGCTCTACCCTCACTAAGTACCTACTTGAGAAAATTACTTAGCATCTCTGTATCTTCAGCACCCCTTCCTTTATCTGCCAAATGAGGACCACATCTACTCTACACCGAATGTCTATGATGGGGATCACATGAGGGTACACAAGGAAAGTCATCTAAATTGTAAATACTAAGTGAGACCCTAGCTATGTCACTTGAACTTCAGTGCCTCACCTACAAAACCAGATGTGACACTGTATTACTTTGACATGAGGCTGTCAAGGAGGTGAGATACTGGCCAAACAGCATATGCCTGGCACACACTAAGCACATCACGAATGACTTGTATTAAAATGATCATTACAAACATGCAAAATAATGGTTATTCTAATGATAGTACAATATAGTTTTTATTAAACAGGTGTACAATCTAAGCATTAGAGTGAGTTTCTAAGCCATGTAAAGGTGCAGACTATTCTGCGAGCAACTACCAACACCTTCATATATGCTTTGCTTTGAATACACCTTCTGCTTTGGTTTTTTGTTTCTTTTAATCAGTTCTGGGGATTGAACCCAGGGCCTTTGCATCAAGCTACATCCCCAGTCCTTACTATTTATTAATCCATTTTTATTTTGGGACAGTATCTCCCCAAGCAACTAAGTTACCCAGGTTGCGCTCAAACTTGCAGTCTTCCTACCTCAGTTTCCCGAGTGCCAGGATTGCATGTGTGCACCGCCACTTTCAGCTGCTCTGCGTTCACTGAGAGAATGTGTTGAATTAACTGTCTCTGATCCCTTTTTTCAGGTATCCTCGAGAAGTACCTGACTCTGGCAAGAGCCTAACTGACCTTCCCTGACCCTGCACAGGGTGGGATTCCTCTACTAAAGGTCACTGCTCCTGAGGGCTCCTCTCCACTGGCACCCTGTGGCATGCTCCCGCGAGCACCTAACGTGTTCTTCCCATCACCACCTTACACGTGTCCATCTTGCTTTTCACCTAGCTGCTCTACCGGCGGCTCCAGCTCAACTAGGTGGGAAGGGCAGAGGTGCAAGGGTGCAAGTAGTCTTTGCTGCAAGTCCACACCTCATTCTCTAACAGAGCTGTGACAAAGATAAAGCAGAATTTTGAATGACACTGATCATTTCTGAGCTGGTTTCTCAACTGGTTTCTCCTCAGGAGAATGTACATGGGAATTGGGGGAATTCTGGCAAACATGGAAGCCCTCTGAGAAGAAGCCAAGCCCCTGGGATCAGGCTCACACAGCATCTCTCTGATGTGGACACCCACCTTGTACATGATGGGTGAGAACCAGGCCGGCATAAAGATGAGGTTGCACAGGCGGGTGGTGGAGCAGTGCTGGTCAATGCTGGCTAGCAGGACCACCTCGCCCAGTTTCCCGTGGCCTACAATCTCCACAGGCACTTTTAGGATAATTTCGCCTTGCTCCTCATACACCCCTGGGAACAGCACAATTCGGTCATACAGGCTGGCCATGGCCAAGGCACTACCCAGGCTGTCAAACTCATGGCCTGGCCCGACACTTAGGGTACGTCGTTCCCTCTTTCTGCGGAACAGAGAAAAGCAGACAGAGGACTCCAAGTCCAGGGCATTCTTGGTCCATGTCTTCGAGGCAAGGTAATGCTGCTTGAAGGCCTCCCTCCAAGACTCAGGCTCCACGTCCGGCTGGTTGGGCCAGTTGGGGTGGCGGCATTCGGTGCAGCCCAGGCATAGCTGCCGCCAGCGAGTGCTATCAAGACTAAGGGTCAGCTCGTACCAGGCCTTGCAAACCAGGCTGCAGCGGCCTAGGTCCGGGAGGTGCAGGTAGGCTAAGATCATGCGCCACAGCTCCAGGGGGAGCCCTCCAGCCTCCATGGTCACCTGGGAGAAAGACACAAAGGAGGATTTTAGCAAGACATAGTGGCTCACGCTTGCAATTTTAGCACTTTGGAGGCTGAGGTAGGTGGGAAGATCACCACGAGTCTGAGACCAGCCTGGGCTACACAGTTGAGTTCAAGGCAATATGAAACGAGTCCCTGTCTCAAACAAACAAAAAACAACAAAAAAAGGGTTTCATTTATCTCATTTTACCATTCCCTTTCTTCAGTACTGGGTATTGAACCCAGGGCCTCACACATGCTGGGCAAACACTGTCACTAATATATATCTCCAGGCATTTAAAATTTTTTTATTTTGAAATACAATCTTACTAATTTTCCCAGGCTAGTCTCAAACCAACCATCTCCCCTACCTCAGTCACCCAAGTATCTGGTATTACAAAGATGAGAAAATGAAGACGGGCTAGCCAATAAGAGGACTCTGTCCTCTAGAGGCCAAGTGTGGTGGTTGACATTTGTAACCCCCGTACTCCAGAGGTAGAGGAAGGAGGATTAGGAATTTGAGGCCAAGCTGATTTGACCACTAGTTAAAACTTCTGACGTGCTGGGATAAATCAACATGGATCTGGGCTCCGTCTCCACATACAGTCTACCAGTGACAGCAGAGACAAACCTGGAGGTGGATGATTGTATTTTCTCTTTCTCTTTTTTCTTCATTTTTATATGTTCTTATTTTTATATGGTGCGAATGTAGGTTTTTGTGGTTGTGGTTCTGTTCTTCCTCTTAGTTTTTCCTTTTCTCTTTTCCTTCTGTCTTCTGCGCTAGTTTCCCAAAGTCTGTGTGATCCTTTGTCCTCCAGTCCTGTTTCTTCTCCTTCTTTTTCTTCTATGTCTCTACTTCTTCCTCTAACCCCTTTTACACTTTCTCCCCATAGGGTATAATTGGCATATTAAGGGCTTATGTACAGCACACAACTTTCTTGTTTGTTTTAGATTTTGGTATAGAACTACACATCTAGTTCATACAGTTAAAGGTGGCAAATTACTGGCTACCTCGGTTTGTCACCTTCTAGGCTGTTTGATGCTACAGTGATTGCCAATTGTACCATCTTAGCCAAAGTGACACAATTGTTCTAGCCAGCTGTCCTTCCGGTATACCAAGACTGAGACTGCCAAAGGGCCATAGAAAATACTGGGAGCAGATGCAAGAGACCAAGATGGTAGCAGTAAGCAGCAGAGAAAACATACTTTCTGAGAGTCACTGGCCAGACGTGGGAATATAGCACCGTGAGGAAGACAAGGAGGAGGGAAGTGGGTCCACTGGACCCAGGAAGAACCTGAGGCATGAACTGAAGCCCAGAGAGAGAGTGAAGAGAGCAATTTCAATGAAGAAGGAGGAGGTGGTGGCATCTTCTCCCTGAGATGGGACTCTGTGCGAGAGGAGTGGTTCGAACCTGTGGATGCACAGTGAGGCCTCGGCAGAGAGACACGGCAGGGGAGGGGAGCAGCAGACATAAAGGACTGCACTGGCTGCTGAAGTGCAGGAGACTTGGTCCTCCAGCAAGAGAGAATGATTAGCCAGGAGCCATCTTGGAAATGGGCTGCTGAGCTCAGAACCCAGAACTGCTGCTGGCTCCAAATAGCGGCTCCCAGCTGGGCTGACTTGTGGAAATTACTTGGATGGTGGTGAGCCCAACGTGTCTGGTCCTAGGGCAGGCCTGAGATTATCCACTACTCCACCAAAAAGTTACTGCTGGCTTGCTAGAAGAGATCTGCACAAATCAGGACTCTTTCCTTCACAGGCTGTCTACTAGTGAAACCACAGAGAACCCTAGAAGTGGACTCCCCCCCTTCTTTCTCCTTCATTGTCTGAACTTCTTTTTGTATGAGTGTGAATGTGGTTCCTAGCCTCTCTGTGGTTGTGGTTGTATTGTTTCCTTCATTTCTTCCATTTCTCTTTTACTTCAGCCTTTTGTGCCAGTTTCTCAAAGTTGGCATGATCTTCCTTTGCCCTCCAATCTTGCCTGTTTCACTTCTTAAACCTTAATCTGTTACTCTTCTTCCACTTCTCTATTTTCTCCTTAATCCATTTTAAAAATTTTGACTCCTGAGGGCAAAACTGACATACTAAGGGCTTGTATACTACATATAATTTTTTGTTTTTATTTAAGAAATGTACCGTTTTATTACACAGTCTCAAAAACATGAAAATAATGTCTCATCAAAAGAAGCTAGATTACCAGCCTCCACCTGCAGAACTGGGTGAACACAGGTCAGTGTGAGTTTCTTAGTTCATTGGGGGCCGGTGTGAAGATATGAGAACAGAACCGATCTAAGTATGGCTAATGTTACCTTAGGAGCCTGAAGAATGAAGGGAGCTATCCTTCCAGAACACTCACGAGGGGTACCTTTCCAAAGCTGCTACATAGGCCTTCAGCACATCAGGACTTCATCTATGGATGCACTGCTTCCATCTAGATCTGTACCCTTTATGGTTTAAAACTAAGACTTGGGGAGGGTTGGGGAGCAAGACAGTTGCTAGAAAAGTCCCCCCAGCATAGCTGCCCTGCATTCAAGGGCCCTGGCTTACCTAACTAGTCCCTAGGGACATTTATATTTCATGACTTTTAATATAAATATATAGAGAGATAGAAAAAATAAAATCTCAGGGGCTACAGGGAGAAAGGGAGGGGATATGGTAAGAAGGCTGAGTTGGAGAGGTCTGCATAGGCCAACTTGACTTCCTCTTTGACCCCTCTGGCTTCTAGCTGCTCCTCCTTGGTTCTGTCCTCTTCTGGAACCTCTTTCTTCTCTTCTGGGTCTCTCTCTTTCTCATCTTCTGTTTTGACTCTCCTGGTTTTCTTGTAGTTGGAAGAGTTCTAGTGGCCACCTTCTCCCTCCTCATCTGAGTCACAGACAACTTGCTTGGCAGAGATGTTCTCGTCAGGGCCCTCTTTGTCCTCATCACCACTCTCCTCAGTAATTGTCTGCATGGGGCAGCATTCTCAGGGTCTCAAAGGGCCACTGCTCTTCTCCAGGTTTTCATTAGTGTTCTAGAAGGGCTGATGTGAAGCTTGAAGTCTGGGCCCAAGTAGTCCCTGTATGGAAGCTCACTAGGGATCTCTGTGTCTAGAGGCACAGCTGCTTCATATGTCCAGCACTGGGCAACATCGTGATGGTATAAACACCTCCTCCCAGCACCAGCACCAGCACAAGCAGATTGAAGCTTCTGACAAGTTCCACACACTTGGCGTGCCCTCTGATGGTCATGAAGCAACCCAGCTGATCCCCAGAGATGGGGTCTGCGTCTATTGTAAAATCACCACAGTAGGCTCTATGACTTTGGACATGACCAGTTTGAAAATAGCCTCACAGGATTTAGCATCAATCCCATCTCCTACTGGGTGGTTAGCAGCATAATACTTGCCTTTGCCAGGCCCAATATCCCATAGGTCCTCAGTTTCTAGGAAGTGCTTTCCATATTTATGAAAGAAATGACTATGGGACTACAACCTGGTCTACAGCACAGAACGCCTCGTCCATGCCATCACCATGGTGAATGTCAATGTACAGCACTCTCTGGTGATACTTCAGCAGTTCCAGGATGCCCCAAACAGTATCACTGACATAACAGAGGCTAGATGCCTCGGACTTCTTTGCATGGTGAAAGCCCCCAGCTCAATTCACAGGAATACCGATATGCGCTTATTAAGTCTCACAGCACTTCCCACAGAGCCATTACTGGACAACTGACAGAAAAACAGGCCATCAAATACTGGAGAGTCCTCACCAATGTTGAATCTCTGCATCTGCTTGCTGTATTCAGACTTGTTATCTAGACGGATGGAGTGCAAAAACTGAATGTAATCCGCATGTGGTATTTGGTCATCTTCTCAGCACTGGCTTTGTGAGGGTGACAGATTCCCATCTTTTGGTAAAGACCATAGTTGAGCAGCAAATTGTGAGTCATGCAGATTTGCTGAGGCTTCACTGGATGGCCTTGCCCGTAACAGTAACTTTCAACATCCAAGTCACAGTAGTGACAGGCTTTCCTCCTGGTGCCCTGAGTTTGGATCATCTTGCTGCCTCCAGTCCCTCCACTATGTGGTTAGATTTTTATGTAACCACAGATCTAGTTCATATGGTTAAAAGTGGCAAATTAAAGATTAGCTCAGTGTATCATTTTCTAGGCTGTGTTTGATGCTACTGGTACCGCTACAGCCAAAACTGACATAATTGTTCTAAAGAGGTGTTGGTCCTGGTATTCCGTGACTGAGATTGACAAGGGTCACAGAAAATACTGTGGCACAGTGCCAAAGTACCAGGGTACCAAACAAGGGTTGCCAAAGTACCAAACAAGCAACATCTTCTCATCTCCAACAAACTGAAGAGGTCAGATCTTCCAACAGACTCAAAATCCAAAAACCGGCTATACCTGGGAGATACTTCAGAGAAGAAGTCATCACCTAGGGGTCATAAATACTAGCAATAAAGTAACTTAAAAGCATCACCTCAGGAATTAAACTAAAAAGAGAAAGAAAGGAAAATGAGAAGACACTTAAAATGCAACCCAAGACATCCAGTTCACCAAAGGCAAATCCAGGGGGCAACGAGGTGGGACAATCTGCAAGCCCCCAACCAGATCTCTCTGAAGTGGTAACAACAAAGCAATTGAATTAGGCTCTGGAAAAAATGAAATCAGAAATCATATCTGATAACTACAGAGATGATGTAAAATAAAGACCATGCTTAGTGGTGCTTGAACAGACACAGACCAAAAAATAGACAAACTTAAGAAAATAATGAAAGCTCAGAATAGGAAGAAAATGGAATCCATAAAGCACATTCAAGCTGCATGGAAAGTATTTGAAGCAGATTAGGCCAATGTGAGGGCAGGATCTCAGATACTGAAGACAGGCTTGCAGGTAGTGGCCAGGAAAAGAAACATCTCTAAAAACTAGCAAGGGACCACAACAGATCAATCCAGCAGGTGCTGGATGAGACAAGAATAACTTAAGAGCACTGGAGTCAATGAAAAAGCAG